CTTTCCAAACACACTGAGATCATCTATATATAACAACACTTCCACATAATCTTCATTACCAACTGTTTTTTACAATTACCACTGAAAAAAAATGTCATAGGTCCCAGAAATTCCTTGTGGGCACATATTCCAATGAGTCCAATACCACTGGGTAGATGAAGGCCATCTTTTCCTAGTTCTGTCAGGGGGATCTGATAGTAACCACTTCAGAAGTCTAATACTGAATCAAGCAATTCCTGCCTCTGATGCTTATTGCCTGCATGATCTTGGGCAAGTCTTGTAACTTCCCTGAACCTTAGTTTTCTCATCTGTAAAATTAGGAAGTTGGACTAAATGTCTTGAGGTCCTTTCCAGATTCTATGATCTAGTGGCAATATCTCTAGTCTCTGCACTTAGAGTGAATCTTCTCCTTTCTGTTTCTCCCCTTATCTGCCTCATGCCTGTCTTAAGTAAAACTAGGTGGTCAATAATCTTATATGGGGAACATTCCATAAGGAATTCCTGCTAGGATGGGTCATTAGACAAAATGTCGTCTAACATCCTTTCTTATTCTAACATGCTATAATTCTAATTTTTTCAACAATTAGAAAAAATTTATGTTGTTAACCAATAAGATGTATGTCAACAATCGCCCTGTTTTCATTGCTATGCAAACTTGACTACCCTTTCTATGACCATGTTACCACCAGTTAGGTGCCATGACCAATGTGGAAAGATAGGACTTCTCCTTTGAAAATTAGCAGCAGTTGCAAACTTCCTCCACAATTATGCGATGATGGCCTGCCAGTATTACTTACACTACCATTCTCTAAGCCTAAAGGAAAGGAGCTAAAACTTTAGATGTTGCATAACTTTCAAAGGTTTATTGTCTCTTGCTCTAAAAACATCCTTGGTTCTCTCTATCTCTGTTCTTTTCCCTCTTCTTCTTCTGCTTCATTCCCCTAGGAAACAGTGTGCTTTATCCCTTTATAATATCCAGATCCAGTGATTCACAGTGCACATCTCTGTGTTAAAGGCAATCTCATCTCACTGTTAGGTTAAGAGAGACCTGAAAAGGGGAGGAAAGATGATGAGAATTAATGAGGGAAGCAGCATCCCATGACTTCAGCTTTTTCTGATTACCATAGCTCCATCCTCTAAGTGCAGACCTACCATGAAGTGATAGCGTAGCACCATGCTCAGAGTAGGCACTTAATAAATGCTTGTTGGTTTGAAATTGTTTGGACTGTATCATATAGAGCAAAAATCCTTGAACATTTACAAGCTAAACAGTGATTTCCACTTCTCTTTTCTCTCCTTCTTAGTCTGAGGCAAGGAAATCCCTTCTGGTTTCCACAATCAATTTGGACCCCAGGTTCATTACAGTGGTGAATTTTTAAAAACACTAAAGGGAACATGGCAGTTTCCAGTAGACTTGGCCTGAACAAGACCACTTCGGTCAGAAAAGCAGTTTGTCTCAGCCCTTATTCTTACTTTGACCCTATCTGCCTTTGTTTCTTCATCAATTAAATTCAATAAATACTTGCCAAGTGCTTATTGTGTGCCAGGGACAGTGGCAGGTAATGGGAATACAAAGACCCCCAAAAAAGGAAAAACAAATAGTCCTTGCCCTCAAGGATCTTAGCGAGGGTTGGTTAGGGCAAGGGCCCTGGAGGCAAAAGGTAAAACAGATAAATACAAGATACTTTTAGATAAGGAAATCAGGAAAGGCCTCATAAATTGTTTTATGACTCAGATCTCTTGACTTTCTGGTCTAAATTTTGTGCTCAGCTCTTAGCTCTCATTTGCTTTTTTCTTGGTCCACTAATTTAGTGCCATAGCTTCATAACTGCAGGCCTCAAAGAAGCTAACACTTGCCCCAAACAATGGTTGTGATTATCCTGATAATGTTCCTTTCTGCTATCCCAGAATTCATTTATATATTCAGTTGTTTAGACGAGTATATAAAGTGTTTATTATGTGTAGAGAACTCTGCTAACCACTGAAAGGGAAACAAATGTAATTAAGATTTTGTCTCTGTCCTCTCTGAATTTGACGTTTAACAGGGGGTTGTAACATCAAATAAATAAATATAACATAACACATACATAAATATGCAGCTTGTTGTTCAGTCATTTCAGTTATATCCAAGTCTTCATGAACCCATTTAGGGTTTTCTTAGCAAAGATATTGGAGTGGTTTGCCATTTCCTTTTTCAGCTCATTTTACCAATGAGTAAATTGAGGCAAACAGGATTAAGTGACTTGCCCAGGGTCACACAGCTAGTAAGTATTTAATTTGAACTCACAAAGACGAATCTTCCTGACTCTAGGCCCAGCACTCTATCCATTGCATCACCGACTTGCCCCAAATGTGCAATACTATATAACGAATATTTAATAACTAAGCCCTAGCCATAGTGTAATATGGGATATAATAAAAACATAAGAGTGATACAAAGCTTTCAAAATACCAGAATTTTCCAGTTCAGTGATATGCAGTTGAACACATATCTAAAAGGAATCCCTACTAAGACATACTTGAAGACTTCCAGTTAGAGGAACCCCTTACTTCTTGATACAACCTTTTCTACTTTTGGATAGTCTAATTGCTAAAAAGTTTTTTTTTACATCAAGCTTCAGTTTGCCTATGCATTGCTGTACTTCAGAGGAAGAAAAGATCATTTCCTACTTTTGGAGGGTAGGATAGGGGAGGGAAATGGTGATGGGTCTATGAAGGAAATTTTATTTTAGCTGAATCTTAAAGGAAGGATGGAGATGGTGATGGGATGTGGGTGGAAGGAGTGATAAAGAGATGTAAGCAATCTTCTCATCTTCCCTGCTTGGATCTTAGTAATCCTCTGGGCCCAAAGAATCTCTGCAACCAGATTTACCTTGTTATGTCCCAGAATTTCATTTCTAAACACTATATCCCCAGTGATTAAGCTACTCCATTTTGGTTTCACATGAAACTCTTGGTTGCTTCCTAAGCAGGACATTTACTCCAAAAAAGATCCCAAGCCTCTGGCAGAACATGGCTACATGGATATTGTTGCTGTCTCTACTTAACTTCTTCCACTGGCACCACAGTCTGGATGACGCAGGTTGCCTGAACCCTGTAGCCTTCTTGGGGAAGGCTTCACATGTCTCTCCTGTTTGAGTTCCCCAGGCCAAGTGATCCAATATAGTAATATTTGTGCCAGATGCCACAAGCTTCAGAAAGCATCATGGAGGAGAGAAGGAATGCCACCTTCCTGTTCCTTACGATTACCGTAGGTGACAGCTATTTTTTTCTGTATAGTTCGGTTTGTGTAGCCAGGCTTTGTTTTATTTTGTCTTCTGCTGCTGTCATGCAGCAACTCCATGGAAGAATGTGTGAGTATGTGTTGTAAGGAGAGAGTGATACCTCTAGGAATCTCTCAGGGGACAAACATACCCAAAGTCATTCCTTAGCCTGCTGTTGCCACCTTACCTTATTACTTCTCTTTCTCTCCAACTACATTTTAAGTTATTTAAGGGTATGTTCTAAAATTTCCTCACAAATTACAAAAAAATGCAAAATCTCTCTCATTGATTAATTAGCTCTAAACCTCCAATTCATTTTATAAAATTAGGAAAAATCTCTTTTCCCGTAAGCTTCTTCTCCTCTCGTAGTCTCAGAGAACTATGGTGTCATTGACTTAGTGAATCATCAATATCACTGATTATATAATTTATTAGTGGCAAAAAATAATGCAAAGACATTATCCATATATTCATATGTGTGTGTTTTATATACACAAGTATATATAAATATTTCAATAATATGTTGGTTCTGAGGTCATCACCACAGTCACTTTAGTCAATGACAGCAACTGCTGACTCCTTAAAACACAGAAACCACAGTTCCGTGACAATTGGGTTTTCTCAGGATGAGAGTTCAAGTCTCTTCTTGGGATGTCTTCTCCACAGAATAAGAGTTAAACTTAGTTTTTTCAAAATGTCTTTTCAGTCTCTTTCAAAGATATAGTTAATTCTTTTTTCTGCCAGGCAATGGGGTTAAATGACTTGCCCAGGGTCACACAGCTAGTAAGTGTTATGTGTCTGAGGCCAGATTTGAACTCAGGTCTTCCTGACTCCAGGGCCCAGTGCTCTATCCACTTCACCACCTAGCTGCCCCAGATGACAGGTAATCCTTTTTTTAAAAAATTTTATTAATTTATTTTGATTTATCAACAATCACTTCCCTATGCTTTTGAGTTGAAAATTTTTCTCCCCCTTCCTCCCCCCCACCCTCCCCAAGACTGTGCACAATCTGATATAGGCTTTACATTTACATACCCATTAAACATTTTTTCACATTAGTGAAGTTGTAAGTAAAAATTAAAACCAATAGGAGGAACCATCAGAAAGATGAAACAAAACTCAACAGAAGGTAATAATAAGTGATAGTGATTCGACTTCCATAGTTCCTTCTTTGGATGTGGACAGCATTTTCCATCCTGAGGCCTCTGGAGATGTCTTAGATCCTTGTGATGCTGAGAAGGGTTCAGTTTAACAATGTTAGTCATTGCATAACGTGGCTGTTATTGTGTACAAAGTCCTCTTGGTTTTGGTCACTTCACTCAGCATCAGACCATATAAGTCTTTCCAGGTTTTTCTAAAGTCAGCCTGTTCATCATTTCTTATAGCACAACAGTATTCCATTACATTCATATACCACAACTTGCTCAGCCATTCCCCAGTTGATGGGCATCCTCTCAATTTCCAATTCTTTGCCACCATGAAAAGATGACAGGTAATTCTTAAAGTTCCTCACAGATACTTTCTTCAGTAGCAGTTAACTCTCCAAATGTTCTCAACAAAAAAATTAGTTCTCTAAAAGTCTCATGTACTCTCCTTCAAAGATAACTGTTTTTTCTCAAATTGTTTTTCCATGACAGTTAGCTCATTCAGACTCCTTGAGACTCCCTTCAAGACAGCAGTTAACTGTCAGCCCCCAAGATTCTATTCCTTCTCTCTCAAAGGTGTAGTAACAATATTCAAAGTCTCTGTGAGAGGGGTTATTGAACATGAGGTTATATTTGTTTTCATCCTTTTTTGAAATCTTTTTCAGTCTTCCCTTTTCTCATCTTGCTTTACTTTATAAGGAGTTGAGGCATTTTAAAACGTGAAAGTGTATATGTCTTCGTATATTTGTTTATAAGATCTAAATACATTTCTACTTGTATGTGAAATATGTTTCTATAAAAATGACATTTGGAACATATTTATTTATTTATTTATTAAAAAATTTATTTGTTTTAGTTTTCAACATTCACTTCCACAAAAGTTCCAAATTTTCTCCCCATATCATTCCTCCCTACACCCCAAGATGGTCTGCATTCTGAATACCCCTTCCCCTAATCTGCCATCCCTTCTATCTCCCCTTCTTCTCTTATCCCCTTCCCCTTCTATTTCCCTTTAGGGCAGGATAGATTTCTCTACCCCATTGCTTGTATATCTTATTTTCCAGTTGCATGTAAAAACAAATTTTAACATTCGTTTTTAAAACTTTGGGTTCCAAATTCTCTCCCTTCTTCCCTCCCCACACACCCTCATTGAGAAGGAAAACAACTCAATATAGATTATACATGTGTAGTCATGCAAAACACTTCCATAGTAGTCATGTTGTGAAAAACTAACTATATTTCCCTTCATCCTATCCTGCCCCCATCTATTCTATTCTTTCTTTTGACCTTGTCTCTCCTTAGAAGTGTTTGCTTCTGATTACCCCCTCCCCCAATCTATCCTCCCTTCCTGCTCTCTTGTCCCTTTCTCCCTATTTTCCTGTAGGGTAAGATAGATTTCCATATCCAATTGAGTGTGTATGTTATTCCTTCCTTAAGCCAAATCCAATGAGAATAAGATTCACTCATTCCCTCTCACCTCCTCCCACTTCCCCTCCACTGTAAAAGCCTTTTCTTGTCTGTTTTATGTGAGATAATTTACTTTATTCTACCTCTTCCTTTCTCCTTCTCCCAGTATAATCCTCTCTTACCCCTTAATTGTGTTCTCCAGATATCATCCTTTCACCTTCAACTCACCCTGTTGCCATCTATCTATCTATCTATCTATCCATCTATCTATCTATCTATCTATCTATCTATCTATCTATCTATCTATCTATCTATCTTGAGTCTTGTATTTGAAAGTCAAATTTTCTATTCAGCTCTGGTCTTTTCATCAAGAATTTTTGAAAGTCCTCTCACTGAATGTCTATTTTTTCCACCTGAAGGATTATACTCAGTTTTGCTGGGTAGGTGATTCTTGGCTGTAATCCTATCTCCTTTGCCCTCTGGAATATAATATTCCAAGCCCTCTGATCCCTTAATGTAGAAGTTGCTAAATTTTGTGTTATCCTGATTGCGTTTCCACAATACTTGAATTGTCTCTTTCTGGCTGCTTGCAATATTTTCTCCTTGACCTGGGAACTCTGGAATTTGGTTACACTATTCCTAGGAGTTTTCCTTTGGAGATCTTTTTCAGGAGGTGATTGGTGGAGTCTTTCCATTTCCATTTTACCCTTTGGTTCTAGAACTCAGGGCAGTTTTCCTTGATAGTTTCTTGAAAGATGATGTCTAGGCTCTTTTTTTGATCATGGCTTTCAGATAGTCCAATAATTTTAAAATTATCTCTCCTGAATCTATTTTCCAGGTCAGTTGTTTTTCCAATGAGATATTTCACATTGTTTTCTATTTTTTCATTCTTTTGGTTTTGTTTTACAATGTCTTGATTTTTCATAAAGTCATTAGCTTCTAATTGCTCCATTCTAATTTTTTTTTTTTTGGTAAGGCAATTGGGGTTAAGTGACTTGCCCAGAGTCACACAGTTAGTGAATGTTATGTGTCTGAGGCGGTATTTGAACTCAGGTCCTCCTGACTTCAGATCTGGTACTCTATCCACTGCGCCACCTAGCTGCCCCTCCATTCTAATTTTTAAAGAAGCATTTTCTTCTTCAAAGTGAGCTTTTGGACTTCTTTTTTCCATTTGGCCAATTCTGTTTTTTAAGGCATTCTTCTCCTCATTGGCTTTTTGGACTTCTTTTGCCATTTGGGTTAGGCTGTTTTTTAAGGCGTTATTTTCTTCAGTATTTTTTTTTTGTCTCCTTTAGCAAGCTGTTGACTTGTTTTTCATGATTATCTTGCATCATTCTCATTTCTCTTTCCAGTTTTTCCTCAACTTCTCTTACTTGCTTCTCAAAATCCTTTTTGAGCTCTTCCATGGCCTGGGACTGATTCATATTTTTCTTGGAGGCTTTGGATATAGGAGCTTTGATTTTGTCATCTTCTTCTGGTTGTATGTTTTGATCACCAAAGAAAGATTCTATGGTCTGACTCTTTTTTGGGTGCAATTTGCTCATGTTCCCAGCCAATTACTTGAGTTTTAAACTGTTTGTTAAGGTAGGGGTCTACTTCCAGTGTGGAGAATGTACTGTCCCAAGCTTCAGGGGTTTTCTGCAGTTGTTTTTAGAGATATTTCTAGAGACCTGTAAATTTTCAGTTCTTCCAAGGTGGTATGATTAAGGATGAGGTGTTTACTCCTTTCCTGGCCTGTGCTCTGGTCCACAAGCACTCTTTTCTGCTTTGGAAGAGGAGAGGATTCTCTCTTCACCACCACTACAAGCTTCACCATGCCAGTGCTCCTCCTCTCCCTAGAACTGACACCCAGAACTGTGACTCAGATCCAAGCATGGGCAAAGCAAGAGAATCCTGCCTCAGTGCCAGCAAAGATATCCCTGCAATCCCCCTCTGATTAGCCACTCAATTCCCCCTCAATCTGTGGGCCAAGAGCTCTGGAAGCAGCTGCCGCCCCAGGGCTGTGCCTGGACTAGGGCTGGGACCAAGCTTCTCTTTCACTGTGGTAACAGACTTTTCCTACTGACCTTCTAAGTTGTCTTTGGTGTTTGTGGGTTGAGAAGTCTAAACACCACCATGATTCAGTCCCCTGAGGCCTGCTCCAGGTTTACTGAGACCTGGTCTTTGCCTGTGTGCCCATGCTAAACCCCTTTCCTTTCCTAGCCCAGCGTGAGAGATCTTTCCAATCAACCATCCAGTTTGTCTTGGGCTAGAAATTTGTTTCACTCTGTCTTTTTGTGGGTTCTGCTGCTCTAGAATTTGTTTAGAGACATTTTTTACAGGTATTTAGAGGGGTTTGGAGGAGAGCTCAAGCAAGTCACTGCTTTTACTCTGCCATCTTGGCTCTGCCTGGAACATAATTTAAAAGCAGAATAGATACTTTGTATTTATTCTAGTAAGTTGATTTTTCATCATTTTAAATGAGAATTTTTTTTTCCTTCATCAAAGAATTATGGAAAACAAATATTGTTAATATTCAATGGATTATCTATAAAGATTCAGATTTGTGCTCTAATCATATCTATAAAACTTCAGAATCATTCTCCAGGATAATGAAAATAATAATAATAATAATAATGATAATGATAACTAGCACTTGTGGAGCACTTTGAGATTTGCAAAGCTGCAGAACACTTTACAAATATGATCTCAGTGCACTACACCCCCTTTACTACCTAGCCACCTTCATTAGACTGTGAATTAGGAGATTTGAGTCAGAGCTCTGCTTCCATCTGTGTGCTTTTGGCCAGAGTCAGTGAACCTTTCTGGGCTTCAGGTTTTTCAATCAATCAACAACAAATTTAGAAACATCTCCATTCCAAATGTTCATATGGACTGTTTGTGCTCGATCTGTGGTAGAGCATTCTGAGCTCATATGGGTCTGATCAGCCACAATTGGACACACAGTATTTTAACTCTGATTTAGTGATGTCATTTTAGTCCTCTTTGAGCATGAAGGACACTAACCAGTAAGTGCTTACTATGTGCCAGGCACTCCACAAGCCACCATGGAAATAAATTAAAAAGTGAGACAGTTCTTGGCCGAAAGGAGTTTGCTGTCTACTAGGGGAACACAACATGCTTACAGATAAGTAAAAACCAGACGATATAAAATTGTGATGCGATGGGTAGGAATGGGTAGGAGCAACTAGATGAATTGGGGAAAACCTCTTGAAGGAGATGGTACTTAAGGTGAATCTTGAGAGTTAGGGGTCCCTAGAGGTCCTAGAGGGAGGGAAGGGCAGAGCAGGGAACACATTCCAAGCAAGGGAGCCTGTGGGAAGGTGAGAGATGAAATGCTGCATTCAGCCATCAGAAAATAGTCCATTTTCTCTGAAAACAGAGAGTATGTGAAGGGGATTCGTGTGTACTAAGCCTGGAAAGTTAAGCAGGAGCCAGATTAAATGCCAAACAGAGGAGTTTTTATCTTGGAGGCAAGGGGGAGTTGATGGAATTTCTCGAGAAATTACATGGTCAGACCTGTGCTTTTAGAATATCAATTTGGCATCCATGTGAAGTATGGACTGGAGAGTGGAAAGACTGGATGCTTCACTGGCAAAATGAAAGGACCAGAACAAAGCAGTGCTTTTCAAACTACGCTGCAAGGAGCCCCAAGACACTCCATATTTTCTTCTTTCAAATGAACCTTATTTTCAATAAACATTAAAATAATAATTTCAAAGGATTTTACTTTAAAGTTCTGCAAAGTTTTGTTTAAACTGAATGATTCTACCGTTATGGGAAAAATTTGAGAACCATTGAACTTAGTTAACTGTAAAGATGATCTCCAACTCTAAAATTCTATTTAAATTCGTGCTTTTTCCAATCAGGTTACTAACATTCACTATTATTTGTTTCTAAAAGTCAGGAGAGGCAGCTGAGTGATGCAGTGGATAGAACACCTGGCAGAAGATTTGTGTTCAAATTCAGCCTCAGACACTTACTAGCTGTGTGCCCCTGGGCAAATCACTTAATCTCTAGGACCACATTGGAGAGGGAAATGGCAAACCACTCCAGTATCTTTGCTAAGAAAACTCCAAAGACAAAGTCCGTGGGGTCACATAAAATAGAACATGACTGAAGCACAACAGGAAGTTAGAAAACAAAGTGACGCCCTAAAGAGATTTAAATAATATGATATTCTTCAAGTATTGATATACCCATTGAGGAGTAGAGGAGTAAATATACCTGCCTTGTACTACCAGGGTTGACTAGATGGAAAGAAGTGGTAGATGAAAGTAATTATTAAGGAAAGTTGGTAGGAGTTACAGTCAGTACACCAAGCTAAACATACTGCTAATAACCATTCCACAGCAAAGAAAACTGGATAATTGATGATGCTTGTTAATTTATGGAATCATTACTATCATATCATTCATGTATAATACTATGTTTTCATAAGCTTTTATATGGTTAAACTACTCATGCGTCTCAGTTTTTCCTGTATAGAATTTAGCTTTATCATTTTATGGATGATGAAAAACAAAAAAACTGAGCCATTTAATGCAACTTTGCTAACTATATTCCCCTTAGACTTTCTTAAATCAGAGATAACTAGTAACTTGCTTGTATGTCAGCAATTCCCTTCTTTCTTGTTTCTTTCTTATTCAAATCCTGCCTAAGATGCTAGCTGTATGACCCTGAGCAAGTCACTTAACTTTTTGTTCTTCAGTTTCCAGGTCTTTAAAATGGGGATAATGATAGCAACTACCTTGCCAGGCTGTTTTGAGATAGCACATGCAAAGTGCTTTGCAAACCTTAAATCTACAAATATTAATTATCATTATTTTTAGAAATCTGTTTCATGCTTTTGATGCTTTTTTCTTTTTCTCTAAACATTTTAAATTACATTTGAAGGCAATTTAATAACAATCATACAATGATTTTTTTATGCTGGATATCTATTATAATGGATGATTGGGATAGTTATAGTGGCAAACAATTTCTGGCAGAACAGGAAAGGTGCTAAATGGTCTGAGTGTTGAAATTAGGGTTTTAAAAACTGGAAGAAGGAGGCTTATCTTTCCTGATACTCAGAACCCAGAAATGAGTATGGCATGTAAATGCATATGCATGATGATGCCAAACATGCTTGCAAGTGATGATATCCCTATATTACTTCTTCCTGTTTCAGTGGAGAAGGCAGGGTAGATGGGAGTCATTTTCAGGGAAAGATGGTGAGCTGCTTGTAGTATGACTACCCCACTATCATCACCAAGGCTTTACCTTTTTGTTGTTGTTGTTCAGTTGTTTCGGCCTTGCCCAACTCTTTTCCTTTTCTAGTGCATTTTACAGATGAGATAACTAAGGCAAACAGGGTTAAGTGACTTGCCCAAGCTCACACAGCTAGTAAGTATCTGAGGTCAGATTTGAACTCAGGTCTTCTTGACTCCAGGCACGGTGCTTTATCCACTGTGCTCTTAACTTTTGTAGTCAAGTGTTTTTAGTTTTTGAAAGAAGAAATATTCTAGGCATAAAAATTATCTCCTCATTTGCAAATAAATATGGGGGGGAGTAAAAGGAAGGAAAGTAAAGAGAATAAGAAATAACATCATTTGTCTCCATCCTCAAAATGTAAGTTCCTCGGGTAGGAATTGGGCCTTTCAGATGTTTGAAACAGTTGAAATAGTTGAAGGTCAGTTTGAAAACCTAGAATGTCATAGGCCTTCACGTATGCTACCAAAGTTTTGTTATGGGTAGAGCTAGAAGAATATTATTCTCTCTCTAGAAGAACAGTTTCTCTTTTAACACAAATCCTCTTATCATATTCCACAACTTCTCTTCATCTGCAAAAAAGAGCCAAGGGCAAAGGATAGATGATTTCTTAACTGTCTGACACTTACCTAGACATTTATCAGCCATTTTTAAGGTTTATATGCTCTCCCAATTTGTTTCCTTCAAATTGGCTTGTGCTTATGTTTAGCTTTACTTGCCTAGATGTGTTTTGTGAGATGAAGTTAGAGCTCCAGGTGGTCAAGGTAGTGGAAATTCAACCAAATTCTGTCAAATATGTGATTGCCTGTTATAATCTTTCTTGCCTATGACATACCAGCCCTTTTTGATATAAGTAATTTTCCATATTGAGCTTCTCTTCAATTTGTAACCAAAAAGGTCATCTGAAAATGGAAACTTCATTCACTTTAAGATGGATTTCTCTTTCTTTTCACATCTTAGTTTATTTCTTCATTTGTTATATTTTCAAATATTGACCTATTTCTTTCACATTTTGCAGAGTATGAAGGAATGTGAAAGAGGCACCATGCAAAAGAAATCAGAATTTATATTGCACAAATGTCTTGCTACTATGGATGTCATATTCATCATAACATATTTGAATCTGCCATTGCTTATGTGAAGATATCCACCAAATACCAGATTCAATGATCTCACATTCATTATTGAAAGATAGATATCTTTGTCCCAATAGCCAAAGCACTGTCTTATTGCATTGAGTTTTTTGCCTCTGCTTAAAGCTTCTGTAACCCTCTGAGTTATCAATACTTTGGGAATCAGAGGTGAGGGAATTTCCCCAGTTCCTTTCCCAACCAGTCCCCTCAGACTTTCAGGATGTAGTTGGCCAGAACGATATCAATAAACTAATTCCCCCATATAAAATGTTCATGAGTTTTCTTTAGAGACAAAAAATCTATTAAATCACAAATTAGAGCGCAAATGGGATTCTGAAAAAATTTTAAGCTCAATATAAACATGTAAATCTTATTGAAAAGAGTATCTGTAAGCATCTTTCTCCCCCTCTCCCAATCTGTTGCAGAGTTGGGAGGTCCAGAGATGTGGTACATTGCACATATTTTCACAGTTTTTCAAGTATTGATTAGTTTTGGTGATTTTCTTCTCCTATTTAGAAATGTCTGAGGCTGGATTTGAATTCAGGTCTTCCTGACTCTAGGCCCAACTCTCTCTCCACTGCACCATCTGTTCACCAGAAGTTTTGTACCTTTTTCTTTTAATTTCATATTAGGGTGCCCAAACTTCTGCTCTTCAATTTTGTTTTGGTCAGCATTCTGATACGTAGATCATAGTGTCGCTTTGGGGCTAAATACTTCCGCAGTGGTTGTTGATAATACCTCCTCTTCAATCAACATTTTAACTTCGTGGCTGATGTCAATCTTTGCAGCTTTCTGTCTTTTTGTTCATTCTCCATCCATGTTCTTATCTTGCCAAGACTGGAGACTGAGAAACAAATATTTCAGTACTTGCTTGCTTATCAAGTTATCTACTTACACAGGACTTTGTGTTCATTTTTGCTCCACTGTGTTTCAAATTGAAGCCAATTGGCTTAGATTGTCTTTAACTCATGCAGGTATTCTTGGGGCTCTAGGATAGTGCTATTTTTCCGGTGTCTCCAAGATTTCCATGAATACTTTTGGGAGAGCCTCTTTATGGATGTTAATTTGGTAGAACTCCACAAATGGTTTTATTTCACTTCTATTTCCAGATATTTACATCTTTGATGATGTCAACATATTCTTTAATTATATGATACATCCTAAACTGTGGTTCTTTCCACTGATTCAAATTTCTTTTGGCATCTACAAAAGTACAGTGTATTGTGGGGGGGTGGGGAAAGTATTCTTTATATTTTTCTTCAAGTTGATTGACAGGATTGTTTGTGTTTGATCAATGGTGGGACAAACAACATGAAAGCCAGCACATTCATTAATTGAATATAAGGAGAGTATGATTTGTGTAGTAAAGACTTTATAGATCTGTGAAAATAAAATAATGCAGTGAGAGTTGCCAAGGTTTTTCAGATTGCAGAACCCTTGTTACTGTTTGCCCTGCCTCAGGAATTTGGGTACTTATAAGGTAACCTGTGAACCTCTCTGCGAATGCCTTATGATGTTCATTTTGAACCACCTTGAGATATTCAGAACAAATTCCATGATTTTGTGGACTTTCATCTAATATAACAGAATGTCTTTTCATTTCATACATAATGCCTAATATCCTAAGTGGATGAGGAAGATCATTGTTAATTTTTTTTAGTGGATTCCATTCTCAAGTGTTCTTTATATACTTGTCATTCTTGCCTTTAGCATGGCCAGTGTTTTCTGTTTTATCCAAATATCTCTTTGCTATCTTAAAGCTCTGTTTCTTGTAAGTTACATCTTTGAGATGAAGTCTTCTGAATTTCTTAAGGGCTAATCTTTTTTTAGTGCTTTTTTTTTTAATTAAAGTTTTATTTTTTTTAACTGAACAGAATCTATTTTCTTTTCCTTCTAATCTCCCCCATCTCATTAAAACTAAAACAACAACAACAACAAATTCCCTGCAACAAATATGCATAGTCAAGCAAAACAAATTCTCTTATTGGTCATGCTCAGAAAAATGTATCTCATTCTAGACCCTGAATTTCTTACTTCCCCATCAGGAAGTGAACAGCATGAATCATCATCATCATCAGTCCCCTGGAATCATGGACAATCATTATATTGATCATAGTTCTTACTGCTTTGAAGGCTGTTTATCTGTAAGGGATTTGCTTGGAAGAATCCTGGGCTGCATTCTTGGACCAAATTCTTGAAGATATCTGTATCCTGCAACATCTAAGAGTATTTTGTCTAATAGTGAGTCAGAAGACCACTGCTTTTATGGTCCCATTAAATGTATTAACAATGCTATCCCCAATATAATTTCTGACTTTAAAGTTTGTATGTAATAGATTGGTGGGAGCATGAATTGGTTAACAATGAAATTCTTCATGTTTCTTAATGGAATCCTTCACTTTACTTGCTTCTGTACTCTAAGGTATATGCAAACTCAGAGTCTCAAAAGATTTTACCTAGGACATCTGGTAAAGAATGTCAAAAGCTCACCATCTGATTCACGCAAAACATTTTCAGGTAAACCCAGAAGACATTCTCACCAAATATATTGCTCTTCATATTTCTGAGAATCCTAAGATACCATTGTTTCTTAGAGAGTTCTTTAAAACTTTTTTTAGTGAACTCTCAAACAAAATGACAACCCCACCCACTGACTGATACAACAGAATTTAGTGTCAGTATTTTATTATCTGTATTTTTCTTCTTGTTTCTTGACACTGAAGACAGAAGGCACAAAAAGACAGTATTTACACGTTTTAGGACTACATTTGATCTTCTATTGGACAATCTTCTGTAGAACTTTTGGAGGACCCTCAATTTCATGTTATCATTAACTAGCAAGTTTAGGCCCTCCTGTTACAGTAATATATGGATAACTGTCTATTAAGATCTCCCCCACAGCATTCATGTTATTTGTAATGCCATTTAGCAAAACAAATATAGTTCCACTCTCTTAGTTCCATAGAACCTACTTCACATATTTTACAAATGATAGACTATGGTATATCTGCCCTTTTTGATTCAATGTATTTGTTTAAAAAAATCATTTAAAGTATTATCACAAAATGTCTGACTTCCCCTTTTCTGTACAACTAGAAGTACTGTGTGACATGGAACTTCATTGATCCTTCCTTGCATAGATCCCATTATCCTGTTTATATTTTAACTCTGAAAGAAACTCATTTAAAAATGTCTGTTAGGCAAATGTTATGATGACCTTAGTGGTTTAATAACTTCCTGCATTTTAAGTTATTGATGAAGAAGATCCTGAAGAATATATTGCAGTTATAGGAGTTTAGTTATTCTATTCCTGACCATCAAGATTTCCTATTAATCAAGTCATTGAGATTATTGTTGTCATTATTTGATACACAGTTGCTTGCAGTATTTGATTATTTAAGGATGTTGTTTTGTAAAAGCTCCTTTATGATGATTCTGGCATCATGGGAACTCATTGGAAAGAGGACTACTGCATTGAAAATTCTGGAGAGAATTATTTGTACTTTCTTCATTATGGTCCTCCTTATGCTTGTGAAGGATTTTTAAAAATACGTCTTCAGGACATATTACATAAGAGTATGTGTTTGCCATTGAAAATGCATATTTCATCTCATAATATTTGTAGATGACTTTTAAAAATCAGCATACTGTGTAATATGAATATCTTTTCATATGTGAGTAGTTGATCTTTCCGTTTTTTCAGAGGAGGAGGAGGATATGATTACATAGCTGGGTAGGTGCTACAGTAGGGCCTGGAGTCAGGAATATTTGAGTTCAAATCTTACCTTAGACATTTATTAGCTTTGGGAGCCTAGGCAAAGTCATTTAGCCTCTGTCTGCCTCAATTTTCTCATCAATAAAATAAGAATAATAGCACTTACCTCCCAGGATTTTTGTTAGGATAAAATGAAATTTGTAAAATGCTTATCAAACCTTAAAGCAGTATAGCAATCCTAATATTATTAACCAATAAGCTATATGTCATGTATAGATATTGTATAGTCTCCTTTTCAAGGTAGATTTTGAACCCACTCCAGTCCAACATTCTTTCTGCTCTGCTATTTACCTTCTTTTTACCCAGCCTACATACAGAAAGGATTGAAACTTTTGAAACTTACTCTCTATTCTCTGGGCGTGGTGCATAGACATTTGTAAATTGGTGGAACGATTTGTCTGGTTGGTTCTGATAAGAAGTAAAATTATAAAACTACCCCTGCCTGGTTGGCAGTCCAACATCTTACAAGGACAGGTGGTGTTGACCTGTTAGGCAGCTTCTAGGAAACCAAAGTCTTAAATTATAGTATCTTCCAAATCAGAACAATATTCTAAAATGATTATTACAGGTGAGGAATGGATTTTGGTTACTATCTCAAATAAGGATAAATAATTAGAAAATTTATGAATTGCATTTTTCTTTGGCCTTCATTTCTCATGCTTAATCAAGTACTCATTCAAGATTTTCTGCTTTGTTTCTGGCCAATATCCTAATAGCTGCAGGATACTTCCAGAGGTACAGTCAGGAAAAGGTAGCATTCATAAGTAAAAGCAGGCAAAATGCAGCAGGCCATTGCATGAATAATCTCATACCCAACATTGTAAGCTATCTTTGCCTTCTGGTCTTACTAAGTTTGTGATGCCTCCTTGCCTTTGACCCTGGTTCAAGTAACCCTAGTGACAGTTCTTCTATTACTTCTGCTGGCAGGATCTTTTGCCTTGGCTGTTTTCCTCTAACTCTCGCCCTCCACCCTATGTCACCTCCAGACTGATCTCTGAGTCAGTCTGAACTCATTGTAGCTTCAGTGTACCCTGTCAAACTTGTGGGAGGCTTTTGGTGCCTGAGTCACCTCCCTATGTCTTCGTCTAGCACATGGTATCTTGTACTTCCTGCTGCAAAATGGAATTCTTGTGAAATTCAAACATAGGTACAGAAATACAAAGAGATTTTTATTGGTTAAAGCTATATTTTTGTCAGAAATCTTTTCTTTTTTTTCTTCCTCCTTCTATTCCCTCCTTTCTCCATGCCTTCATTCAATAATTATTTATTCAATGGCTACCATATTCAAGGCACTGCATTGTCTTTTAGGAAAAGACTGGTATACAAATAACCATGATAACAAGGCAGAATGGGATTATCCCCATTTGTACCTGCCGCAGGGGAGGTACAAAGAACTATGGAAGTGTAGAGCAGGAAAAGATTAATTCTGATTGACGTGATCAAAGGGGTGGCGTTTGACTGCAGCCTAGAGTGCATGAAA